TTTTTTTCTCACAAATTCTTTCTCTACAACTTTAAATTTGTTCTTTATCTTCTCTAGAGAAACATCATAAATGAAAAGGAGAATGCCGTACACATAATATATAATTCCAACATTGTCCATATTAATTTTATTGATCAATTTGTTGGTGATGAGGCTTGCAAGAGCTCTGTCGACATCCTTAATTTTCCTAATAACTATTTTAAAGACAGGAATCTTTAAAATAGTTCAAAATACATAACATTTTATTAATCAAATCCAGTCTTTTTAATTCTTCCTTCAAGGAGAACCAGTGAACCAAATCAAATGCACCTCCCCCCGAATATCAAATCTTCCGTCTTCTTAGCATGCCTTCATAGTGTAGTAGTCAGCACGCTGGGCTCGTATTCCAGAGGTCCGTGGTTCGAATCCCAGCTCTTATTTTTCATCTCTCCTGCTTTCATAATAATATCTCTACAGTGGCACCCGAACTAAAAGGTTTGGCAGTTGGGTCCCCTAAATCCCAGTCGCCCTTTAAAAGAGGGAGTATATAAGGTATTTCTCCCACCTTCGTAGTGTAGTGGTCAGCATGTTGGGCACATATTCCAGAGGTCCGTGGTTCGATTCCCAGCTAGGGCATTGCTCATTTTTCATCTCTCTTGCTTCCAATTAACCTAATGTCTCTACAGAATGACTGAAAACGAGACCAGAACCATGTGCTAAATCTCATTTTCTATGTCTAATAATGTTCACAACCTTATACAAGGCCTGTTCAGGAGATCTGCATTTCATGAAACTGTATTGCTGTTTAGAGATATTTTTAGTCTTGTTGAAATGAGAGTATAATCTGTTTACGAATAATTTGTTTAGAATTTTCCCAAATACCTTCAACAGACTAATTAGCCTTAATGAGCCATTATCCTTTGGGATATATTGCAAAATATTTTGTGTCTTCTTTAGTCAAGCACTCATCTAATATCAAATTATCTGCAGTGAACTAAACTATCATTATACATAGAGAGAGGGAGATATAGATATGTTTTATAAGATATTTTATTCTTATGCAAAGTAGTTCTTCAAAAGTTCTTGGTATCTTCTACTATGCAAACAATATTCCAGTGATCTTCTAACTTTAATCAACTTGCGACTACAAAATATTTGGTGTCCTGTTTAGTCAAGCACTCATCTAATATCAAATTATCTGCAGTGAACTAAACTATCATTATATATAGATAGAGGGAGATATAGATATATTCATTTAGGAAATGCTTTCCCTGAAAAACTTTACTGGTCATATTTTATTCTTATGCAAAGACTTATTTTTGTACCTATTGTAACTAATAGAACTGGCATATATGAAAATTTTATCATGAACAAAATCAGAGAATAAAGAATATCAAAAGAGTAATGCTATAACTAAGATATTGATAAATGAAAAATTATTCAACAAAATTTTAGCACATTTATTTTCTACACTTGAAAGCCAAAATTTGGGATTAAAAAATTAAATTTTTGAGCTTAAGCAATTTTTGGTGTAAGGAATATTTATTAATAACTGTGTGTTTTTAAGCCCTCCAGATGAAGAGCTTAAACTGGCTGTGAAAGCTGTTGCTAGTAATATAAAAGGTGATCCTGAAACAATAGAATCTGAGCTACAACAAAAATTAACTTCAATAAATCTTATCAAAGAAGAACATGCAGAAGAACTTTCCAAAAAAGAGGAGGAGGATGCTGAAAAGAAGGCAGAATCCATGTAAGTTTATTTTGGTGTATTTTTAAATCTGTTATTCAGTAGTAAATAAATATCTTTAGTCTTTAACATGGTAATGCTATAATTTAAAATTTATAACTGCAGTAATATTCTGTTTTAATAAACTGTTTCATTAAATAAAAAGTGACCCTCCCTTCCCCCCACACATGTTGAATCAAAATGATATAATAAAAGACTAGGAATCCACGTAATTTGGAAAAGCAATTGTGCAGATTTTCAATTCTTAAAGAAAATTAGATTTAAAATATAATTTCCCAATATTTTTTGGTTTATTATCCCCTTTTCAGGTTTTTTTGCATGTACTATCTCTTTTGGTTTGTTCAGTGTGCCCTACTTGCATAAAAATAGTAATTTGGATGTCTCTTTGAATGTCTGTAAGCAGTAATTGAATGTTACTATGCTTGCTCTAAGCTTTTTGAATGTTATTATGCTTGCTCTAAGCTTATTGAATGTTATTATGCTTGTTCTTGGCTTATTAAATGTTACTATGCTTGGTTGCAGTGATTGAATGTCATTATGCTTGGTATGCGTTGAACTATTTGTTAAATTTTGTCGGGAAATTTAGAAGCATATTATTAATGATTTATTAACATGTAGTAACAATAATAACACTAGATTCCACCATAGTGCATCTGATGAATTTGTAGGAATCTTCATTAAATTAAAAAATTATGTTACTTGTCTGCATTGGTTATCACTGCATAACAGATGTGTGATTTTGCTTTAAGAATTTTGGATTCATTGGTTATAATTTGCTTATTGTTCAGTGTTCATTTTCTTGCAATTAGTAACAAATTTTTATATACATTTATATATAGCTTAAATAATTCTGTTTGAAAGATTAGCTGTCATGATTTGGCATTTGATATTCTTTTAAAAATAAAGATTTCTTGGGAAAACGTAAAAAATATATGTCTGAAATGTCTGTACAATCAAATGAATTTAAAAGTTACGTGTTTGTCTGAATGCCAAACATTTTTGGCAAGAATCCACGGTGCCATATTACTATCTAAATTTTCTGTTTACATTTCGAACTTTAAGCCTAAAATGTCTCCAACAACGCTGTTTTCGCACATGCAAAAACCACGTTTTGAACACAATTTAAAAATTCGAAAAAAAAAACAAAAAAAAGTTCGCAACCCAAAAATATTGACAAAAATTCAGGACATGTTTTAACTTAAAAAAAAAATCTACGAATTACAATCTAGGCAGCGAAGAATCTATGAACTACGCAACCTCGCTTTAATAATTACATAACAATAAATTTCAAAGAATACCATGTACACAGCATTCGTTTAACTCTAAAAAACATCTACGAATTGCACTTGCGCGCACAAATCAGCAAAATAAACTAAAAAAATTACAACAATTCAAATAACAACAGAAATTCATAGTAAAAAAACAATGAACATAACATTCTACAAAATAAAAACAATAAAATAAAATGCACTTACCATAATACATACATGAATAAAATTTCGTCAGCCACACAACATCTGTCAACAAAAGTGCCATGATTTTGCTATATCACATCTTTCTGTGACTCAAAATTTCAAAAAAGTCCCACAGAAATTCCAAAAATACACTTCGATCCTCATAAGCACACCGGTTAACAACTCAGACATCGTACCATTTAATACTAAATTTACTTTCCACACTATCTAAAATATGCGACTGAAATCTTGCCACCACGTCTCTAAGTTTCAATGTCAAAAGGGTTGTGATACAAACAGCATCGTCCACCAAACCATCCCACAGCACAGAATCGTGCCAAAAACCAGCGCAGAGCACATATCACCACATTTGGTATCTTAGGGCACATCTAAGAGTAGAGCCAAAGTTATATATATAGACAGATTGAAGCTAAAAATATGTAAAAGCAAACTTTTAATTTTAATTAGCAATAGCACCTTTATTTTGATTTGCAGATATCTTTTTTCTGTCCTGAAAATTGCAAAATATTTTAATATCTATCTAAACTGCATCATTTCAAATTAATATGTATCATATGATCTTACTTAATACTACAATGCATGTACATTTTAGTAAATAAGTAAATAAGTTTTCAGGTGAAAGAAACAAATTATGTTCTAGCTATAGCTACATTTGTGTGCATGTTTCATCCTTCTACTATGCATTATGCATTCTTTATGCCAGCACTGCTTACACCTATCAGCAATAATTAAAGTGTTTGTGTTTTCTCATCCACATTCTAAATTATTACACATATTTATGTATACACACACACATATATATATATATGTAAATAAATTCTGCAAGTTTAACTTTGATGTAAATTGCACTTGTGTAGAGATTTTATGTATTTACTTTTTCTACCTGAATAAAATATCCAAATGTCATCATCACTTCATTCTTTTGCTGTTTAATCTGTAAGCAGTAACAGAATTACCTTGAAAATCAACATTGCTCATGCTCTTATTAAAAATCACTGTCGTTCATAATTGGGGAGTTATGGTAAAATTTTCTCAATTTCGTTTCATTTTAGAAGAGCTACAGAAATGGAAAACTGAAATCACAGATTTTATCATAAAAATCATAAATTTTGGTAACCATAATTTCTGTGGGACAATTTTGTATCCAAATAGATTTTCAATACACAATTATAGAAACACTTAGTGCTGTATGTATTTTCTGCTTATATTTTATATTGATGGATTTAAATGATAAAATGTGTTTGTTTAATCAGTTGAAGCACAACAGGTAAAAGAATGAGCTTAAAAAGGTATGCCTTTTTTTAAGGCTGTTTTAAGAGGAACTAGCTTATATTAAAATCACATATATTGAAAACCCCCAAAAATTCAGTCAACCTACAGTGTTTAACCATCTTATTTATTTGTCTACTAAATGATAATAGTGATAACAGTTATTCCAAATTTTTGAGTTCTTGGTTTTAAACTGTTTTGCTCTTTTTATTGAAGGTTTTTCTCCTTGTATGCCTCTTTCTTTCCCCCCCCCACACATAAAATCCTTCCATTGCTGCACAGTATATTGATGTTTCTTTGTTTGAAAAATGATATGGTAATCACTCTGAAGAAACTCCAACTTCATAGGTGGTGGAATAGCTATTACGACTACCTTCACAATTGTTTTCCATTAATTTTTAGAGTATTTATAATTTAACAAACTTGAATATGTTTTAATTAAAAGGAGAAAACTAAAACAAGTGTTATTGAAAGGATTTTAAAACTTTTTAATAAGTATGTGATACAATTATTTCTTTAAAAAGGCTAGTGATGTTTGTTTGGGACTATGACTGATGTAACGCTGAAAATTTCACAGTAAGGAGTGCAGTTTTTCAGTGCTTCTCATAAAGCATCCTCTTCTTTCCTCACTTAGGTTTCCATTGCAAGATCAGTCAGTTCTTGTGCAATTTTTATCTTGTACATTAAAGCAGCTTTATGTTTATTATTACTACTTTTGCTTTAACTAGTGTTATAAGATCATCTAATTCTTCATTCATCTTTCTCGATTAAGTCTTTGACTTCTTCCATATCTGAAAATCCTTCCCTACCAATTGCTTTTGTAGTTTGTACAATTTCCTTGGCTTCATTTTTATCAATAGAAATCCTTTAAAATTGTGGATAATGTCTAACTAGAGCTGATACCAACAAACACTCATTCTTGATGAATGAAATATTGTTGAACAGATTTAACAGAAAAGAATCAAGGTAATGCATATATTCGAAATCGTGTTTCACAAATCTGCATTTGACAAGGGTTTATGGTGCATAAAAAATGTAATTTTTCTAATCACATTAATAAATTTACTAATGTATAGTATTTAGCTAATATTTTCTCATTCCCGTAAACATGATTAATATTCTATGTGTTCTTAATTCTTTCATTATACTTTTAGATTAAATGAAAAAGCAAACAAAAATTTAATGTCATCTGTGGAAAAAATAGCATCCACTGTAACAGAAAGTCCAGCACAATCTGAATTAACAAATAGGCTTTTGAGGCTAAACCTTGAAAGCAAAATTTCAGCAGAGCAAAGGAAATCTGTATCGTAAGTATGAAGTTTGTTTTCATAAAACTTGTTGTCTGCTAAAAGAAAAGTAATAAAATGTAATAGTGTTAAATTAATATTTAGTTATTCTTAAAAAATAAGGTATGTTTTTTTCCAAATGTCATAAATTTAACTGTCAGTAAAATAAATATATAAATAGTTTTTAATTTTAGATACAGGTGATTAAATATTAATTTGTCAATAATGTTTTAAAATATCTGCCTACGTTTGGAGCACTTTTTTAAAAAAACATAGAATACGGATTAAATATATATATTTATTTAGTCAAAATTTGATATCATATTTAATTTACTGAGCTTTTTTAAAAATAATACAAGCATGAAGAAAATGTAGCTACAGTATTTTGATTCTCATTCTTAATCTGAATAATAAAGATTATTATTTTTTACATTTAACAATGATATGTTTAACGTTATATATATATATATATATATATATATAATTATATATATATAGATTATATATATATATATATAAGTAAAGTAGAAAGAACAAACAATAAAAGACCTATGTGGTCAAAAATTTTGCTTATTGTGCTGCAAAATTAAGGAAATTAGAAGATAAATTTTCAATTTTAGTATGCATGCTAAAAAGTTGCTAAAAACTGTTGCTCCGCTAAAATTTCAACATAAGCAAATTTAGTTGCAATGAATTGTGTTAAAAGAGAAATATACAAAATTTGAATATTTACAAGTAAAAATGAACAAAAATAGTAAGCTGTATGTTAAAACTAATTAAGTAAATTTAAAACATACTAATCAATTGATTGAGGTAAAAATAAAAATAAAATAAAAATTAAGAAGCGGTAAATGGTTGATTAGTCCAATTCGAAGTTCATTTTGGCACGTCAGGCGAAATTTTTTCAATGAATTTCGAACTAAGCTAACTCCATCACGCGTTTCACGGAAACAGACAATTGAAACTGTACGCAGCACATTTTTCAATGAATTAAATAAGCTCTGTCAAAAACTTCAGTCTCAATTCTCCGTTCCAATTTCCCAACGCGTCCGCTTACGTTAACACATTAAGGTGTAAAAAAGATAATAAATAAATAATGAAAAGGAAATGCTGATGTACAGAAAAAAATAAATAGTGATATGCTATTAGTCAAAATATACAAGATCTTATGGGTGACCTGTGAGCTTATAGAGTTAATACTTTGTAATAGTACCGTAAATTATATTTAAATCAAAACGGAAAAGATAATATAATAGACGAATTGAAGCAAGGGTCTTGCCAAGACCTAGAAAAAATCCTTTAGAGAAAAAAATTATTAAAAACAGACCTGTACCATTGTCGTCTTCCATGGTCAACAAGGAAACTCGAAAAGGGTGGGCAAACCCCGAGCGTGCTCGCTGCCCTCCAACTTGCCAGATGAAGTAGAAAGAGGGGAAAAAATGTCACTGGGAAACAGCCAATGTAAAGTGACTCATTGCAAAGGGGGGGGGGTAAAATGCGTGGAAAAATTACGGAAAAGGTTCAAAATGGCGTCTTGTCTTAGTAGTTTGAAGAAAATTGGACTGGGTAAAAGAGAAAATGGCTAATTCAACAAAATATTTCCTAAAATGGCCTCTAAAGTCAGCAGAAGTAATGAAAAAATAGTAATTTGTTAATTAAAGTCATAATTCTTCAAGCTAGAGGGCATTCAAGCTGGCAGAAACGAAATAAGCCCATAAGTTAATAACAGAATAGAATTGGCCAGCAAATGTTTAAAATCTATTTAAAAATAGAATTAAAAGTATTGTGCCAAATTTTAAGAGGAAAAATAGACGTTGGGACAGGAATTATTTGTACCTTTATACATTAGATCTTCAGAATCAGCCATCCACTTTATACTGTCCCATAGGGCTTTAAGCATAAAATTACATTATCTAACTCAAAAAAATCTAGAAAATAAGGTAAGGTTAATGCCAGCATTTTTTAACGTATTTTTAATTACTTTTTTGAGGAATTAAGGTTATTTTTGAATATTGTGATGAAAGTATAGTACTTCTTCTTGAAGGTGTTATGTTGTATTACCCATTCTTTTAATTCTAAGCAGCAGTGAGTAAATTGTGTTGAGGATGACTCTTTTAAGAATATTGGAATTCCAGTTGGTTAATTTAAGTGTTGTAAAAGTCGAATTCTCTTCATTTGTCATAGACTTTCAAAAACTTGTAATCTATAATATGCAAATCAAGGTAGACTATATCATGTTGCACGGTATTTGTAAGACTTTCAAAAACTTGTAATCTATAATATGCAAATCAAGGTAGACTATATCATGTTGCACGGTATTTGTAGTATTAAGTTTTAGGCATGAAGGGTAGATGTTAGCATTTTCAATCTTGTTGAAGTTGTTGAAGGCTATTATATCATCAATATATCGAAAGATGTGTTGGTAAAATTTATGATCTTCCTTATTGAGTGAACGTATAAAAGTCAATTCTTTTGTAAAAAGGAATAATTCACAAACAGAAGTTGAAAAATTACCCCGCATAGGAATTCCCTGTATTTGTTTAAATATGTTGTTGTTGAATTGAGTATAATTATTGAAAAGTACGCATGAAAGAAAAAGTTGCCATTTTTCAGCATTTAATATTGTAGAAATTTGGGGAAATAATTCAGGAAGAGCAAGTAAACTTTTATAAATTTCTTCAAGTGGCAAAGTAGTATAAAGGTTTTCAAAGTCGTAGCATTGGATATGTTCTATTTTAAGTATATTTAAGGTTATTAGAACATGTTCGTTATTTGAAATCATCTGGTTGCAATGTAGATCTTTAAAATCATAATTATTAATGAGGTCACGTATGAGATGAAGTTTTTGTGCAAAGAGATAAATCTATTTCCTTTTGATAACTTTTGGCACTATTGGCAATGAACCTAAATTCGACCGGAGTCTTATGAAATTTTGGTAGTGCATATAGATTTGCAAATCTGTTACAGTCAAAAGTCGTTAATCCGGACTCGTCAGGACTTCGGCGATTCCGGATTATCGATTTTTCCAGATTATAGATCATCAGTTTAAATCTGGTAAGATGGCATGCAGAAATTATAAAATTAAAAATATGAAACTGTAATTTATGAAATAAAGAACAATTATGATCTAAAGGGTATCAAAATTTACAAAAAGAAAAAGCTTAGTATTTATTTGTTTACTTTATAATGTAAGTTGTTTAAGTTGCTTTGTTTCATGTGATAATACTTTCTCTTTAATTCTATTAAACAGACATAATTTCTTGTTTAGTTACAAAGTTCCTCTGTTCAAGTCCTATAATTGCTGTATCGAGAATACCGACTTATTTGTCAATCGAAATTTTTTCGTTTTCAATAACCTCTGTCACTTTCTTCACTATCGGAAGCGAATTATAATGATGAGGAACTTGTTTTAAATCATATCAAAGATGGAGTACATCGAGATGAAATACTGCATTTAGTAAGGAATTATAAGCCAAATAAAATAAAAACATCTGCCTTGAAGATAAGGATAGTGCTGACAAATCAACTTCCAATTCATTGAGCAGTGCAGCGTTCCCCCCACCGAGCAGCGTGAAATTGATAAACAGATTTCGGATTTCGAAACATACTTTTGCTTTAGATCCTTTACATATTAGCAAATATATATCGGAAATTCTATTTGATATAATCGAAAGTTCAAGCTTACTTTTATAAAATTGCTCTAACAGTCTGCAAAAAATAATAAGCCGGATCCTATTAGAAGATTAAGGAACAATGCAATCTGCAACATTAACTGAATTAGATAATTTTAGCTTAGCTTATACCATCCGTTATACATTAAACGCGCATGCGTAAACGTTTTATGCGCACGCGCACACTGATATTCGCAGCCGTAAAGGTCTTACGCACATGTGTAAACGCCTATGCGCATGCGTCAACGCTACGCATGCGCAGAAAGTTTGTAGCTTTGAGGTCCGGATTATGGGTGTCCGAATTAACAACTTTTGACTGTATTATATTTGCGAGGATGGATTTTAAGTTTTTTATGAAGTGCATTAAATTTATTGAGAAGAATATTAGTGCTGGTAGTAATCTTTTGGTAGGTGCAAGCGCTATTCAATTCTTTATTCAGAAGATCGAAATAAAACTTTTTTCAAATAACACTAAAATTGTTGCTAGCTTTGTCAATCTTTGTGATGATAAAGTTATCTTGCTGTTTCTGAATAAGAGTCTCTAGATGTCTTTTATTTACAAGTTACCCAATTTCAATTATTGTAAATAATTGAAATTCAATTATTGTAAATAATTGAAATCGGGTAACTTGTAAAGCATAAGCTGAAATTCTTTAATTAGTGCAGCTTTCCATTCTAGAAAAGTAGTAGTAGGTAAATTGGTTCTATTACTAGCTAAAATTATAAATTTATCAAGATTATTATTGAATTGTTTAAGGCAAAAGTGCTGATTAATACTGAAAGTTGGACGAAACTTGGTGCCAAATTGCATAATTTCTCGTAAATGCTCATCTTCAATGATATTGAGATCTCCTGTAACAATATGCTGGTGATACGGATCTACATATTTATTGTAAACAGGAAGTTTGCAATGACATATGCTATCTTCTATTATATTGTGGTGGTTGATAATTAGTTGACCTAAGGTCTTTCCAAATTTAAAACAGGGTTTGATTTGAAGTGGTTGGTCAGGTAGGAACTGCTGACATTTTTTAAAAATGCTTAGAATTTTTAATTGATCGTAAGAAGGGTGCTTGAATTGTATTGTACAAAAAAAAAAAAAAGAAAAAGAAAAATTGTGAAATATATATATATATATATATGTTCTCCCTCCCAAAGATTTCTTTATAACTTTCTGTGTTTCACACATGTTTTATTATTTATTATAGTTGTTTTATTATTTAACACTGACTGCATGGCTGATGTGATTTTAAATATTTGGTGTAAAAATAATTATTTATGATATTCTTCATATAATCTTATCAAATGCAGTACAAAGTCCAAGATCTGGAATTTTCAGGCGATTCCAGATTTCAGAAAACTTCTCAAAATTAGTTGATCAGTTTAAAGTAAGATGACATGTAGATACATCAACATTGTGACTTTGCCTACTATATATGTCAGATGGAAAAATGCTAATCCCCCAACAGGGCAGGCCCTGTAGCTGGTGCAGCCACAATGGGCAGAAAACTTTTAGAGGAGCACTAAGCAGGAAAGATAAATTTAAAAATTTTTAGAATTTAGAAGAGTCATTAGGTAAAATTTAGGGATAGAAAACATTTTAGGACATACTTGGGTAGCAGAATTTAGGATCTGCAGAGGTTGTAAGGGGTGACAAATAGATAAAACCAGCCCTGCCCCTATCCCCCAAAAAATAAAAACCTGCGGGCTGAAATTTCTTATGCATACATTTAAGAATTATAGAAGTTGGTCTCTTTATTATCAAAGCACCTAATAAGTGAGCCACCATTGCCTCCTATGAAGAGATGGACAAATTACATCCATGACTTCTCGAGAATTTGAGCCCAGGCTCTCCGGTACGGCAGTCAGAGTTACTACTTTCCCATCTGGGCAGCTAAAGACCGCCATTGGGAAAAAAAACAAAAAAAATTAATTGATAATTAAAAATTGGTCAGACCTCATTGCAATTCAATGTCTTTGGAGATGAAAGTGTGATAAAATTATTATTAACAATTGCTTGCTGCATGTAGGTTATAAGTGAATTAACACTTTGTGTATTAAAATAGTTTAATTTCTAATTTGATAAGCTTTTCACTGTAATTGATTGTAAAATTGTCTTTCTGTTGTGATTTTAAACAAATAAAATAAATTTAATTCAAATCTTTAGAGAAACGCTTTCTGGTATGAAAATAGAAAGGAAACCTTTGGATATTCATGAACAAGAAAGAGCTACTGATCAGGTAAGCTCTTCAAGGAGAAGATTTGAATTGAAAAGAACTGCAGATGTAAGAGATCCATCAAAAACAAGATATGAACTGAGACCTTCTGATCAGATAGATTCATTAAGGACAAAATCTGTACCTATGAGGTAAGTATTATGGATGGTGATTTTTTGCCTCTGCATAAAATCTATTTTGTAATTCTTTATTTTGCAGCACTAGAAAAATTAACAAAACAAAATTTTCATCAAGAGCCGTGGATGTATTTTTTCATATTTTTACTTGCTTATAATAAACTTTTCTAAAGCATCAAAGTTTTTTAGAATTTTTTGCATGTGTTTTTTTTTTTAATGTAAAATAACGTTGTTAACAAGCATTTCTTTATAGATTAATTTATCTTCTTCCCTTTTCTAAGCTATTTGTAAGAACCTTGACTAGATAATAAAAGAAATCAAGAGTATTTGCACATTAACTGATACTAATAGCTTCTGTTGTAACCCTATGCAGCTATTTTTAATAAATGTGTTGTTTATTTTGTTATTTCATTATATTTTTTAGTAAATGACATAACTTTAAAGACAATTTTTATATTTCTGGATGTATAGGCCACAAATGAAACAGAAGATAGATCTTTTCGGTTCATCTCCTTTAGGTATATTTCCTTCACCTGCTGGTGAAACAGTTGGTAAGATAAAATTTAGAATAGTTTTCATTAGTGATTGTATTTTTTAAAACTTTTTGTTTTTCTGGAATACGGGAATTCCTAAATTATTCATTTACTTCTTAAAATTTGAGATCTCCCCCATTTTTTTTTTTTTTTTTTTTTTTTTTTTTTTAATAAAGAACTGTTTTAATATAAAGGGGCAGAGACTGGAAAAAACCGTGTAAAATGAATGCAGAATTTTTTTTTTTAATCTTTTAAATTATATTAAACAAGAAATATTTATTTTGCAATTGCTAGCAGTGTTTATTCCTACAGCTTTTCAAAATGCTCAGAATCTAGTATTTATCTGCAAATGAATTATATTTTTCAAACAAAAATGTTTGAAAATGAAGTAAGACTGCTAAACACGATATTTCGAATCTCAGCAAATAGGGTAGCTGCATAGTTCCCCCCCCCCATGTGTAAAATAAATATGAACCAATCTTCTTTGGAAAATCCTCCATAAATCAGCCCTTTCAAGTGACATTAAAAAATATCTATTAAATAATAATATTTTTTTAATTAAAAATTTTTTAGTGATGCATAATTTATGTTGCAGAATTTACTTGTTTTTATACGATAACAATATATATTAAATTCTCTTACCCTGTTTTGCAATTTGGCATGGAATATGCAAGTTAAAGCTTTTACATTTATTCTTTTAGAACTACGTCTAACAAAATCTTGTAGAAATATGCTATTTTTGCTAAAATTGTAACTTCTCTCTATGTGTAGTGCGGTGCTATAGGTCTACCATATGTTTATATATATATAGTTTTTACCATATTGTTTATATATATATATATAGTTCAAATTAATATATTACCATATATTAATTTGAACTAAATTTTTTGTTTATTTTTCATATTTGATTTCTTTTCAATCATTTCTTTCATAACTTCTCTATACAGATAAGTATTCAATTTATAATTACTAAATTTCAAAGTTATTTCAATATTATTTTTGTATTCATATTTAACAAAAACTCATGAGCAAGTTAACTGGGATATTATTACCATTTATTTTACGTCATAAAAATATTTTAAAATGCAAAAATTTTGGAAAAGTATGTGCAGAAGCTTCTTTGTCTTGTTTCAGTAATTAAAAGTACATGGTAAAAAATGGATACTGTTTGCACAGAAACTGAAAAATAAAAGGTAAGCTAAGGGGTGAAGAGACCTTAAGCACTTAAAAAATGTTGGTGCCTCAAAGTGCATATATGCCAAGTTTTTCTTCCCTCCTTTTTCCCTCCCTCTTAGGCTTGAGGTTTAGCTGCACTATGCATTCCATGGTAAAACTGACAATGAAAATTTTTGCGGTGCCCCCTTTGCCAAGCCTGTATGTACCATTTTGCTTAGCTCCTTTTACTTCATGCCCTAAGCACATGCTTAGCTTGCTTAATGGTTAATTCAGCTCTGTACGTAGCAGCAATCATGTACACCCTGCACACAAAAAAGGGGCACGTCTATATCTCATATTGTACTGGGCCAATTGACAAAATTTAATTTGTGTTTTTCACATCTTGAAAGCGCTACTTAGGATATATGTTAGATTTATATATAGCATTGTAATAGCATACGTATTTTGACACAAAATCAGACTTTTTCTGAAATGGCATACCAATTTTTTTCCATATTTTGATTCTACGATTGAAATTATGCCCAAATATTAAATTTTGTAAAATTTGGTGAAACATTTTCTGAGAAATTTAAAACTTAATCTTGGCACACCTTTTTCAGTTTGCACCAAGATACATTCATTTTGCAAAATTAATTTATAGTAACCTAATTTTCTTTCCCTTTTTTTCATTGTGCATGAACAGAAAAAAGGTGCATCACTCATTCTTTCAAAGAATTTTAACAAAGTGCATAAAGCTAATTTGACACTATTATTACTTATAACAAATATGCCAAATTTCAAAATGTGCCCAATATATAAATTCATGTATGTCTTGGAAAATTTTGAATAAAAAATTATATTTTTTTGCAGGTATGCCTAGAAACACATCTACTTTAAGATGTTAAAATTTTATAGGTTATAATTTAAAAATTTTTTATCAAAATAAATCAGAAAATATGTGCAAATTTTATTTTGATTGAATGTAATTTTTGAGTTGTGAATGAAGGAATCAAATAAGTTTAGTTTAAAAAAGAAATATCAGTAATTGAGGAGCTAAAATTTTGAAAGCTCATTTTTTAAAACTATTCATCCGATTTTACAAAACTTGACGCTTTGTCATAATTTGAGTTGTAGAATCGAGATATGGAAAAAAATATGTGTGTCATTACAAAAAAAAAAATTCAATTTTATGTGAGAATACCTAAATTAGAACAATACTATAATATGTTCTATGTCATGCTTTCATGAGATGAAAAACAGAAGTTAAATTTCGTCAATCAGCCCTATAGAATGAGGGATAGAGAACCCTCCCCCCTTTTTTTAAGCATGGCGTACATGCAAAATACATAATACTATTATGTTCATGAAAGTCCTTACATGACCTTTATTTTCACAACTGTTGGATATAGACATATCATTCCAATTATGTTTTGGTATTTTTAGATTTAAAGAAATCAATTTTACAAAAACTACAAAGTTAATTTTTCATGCGTTTCTTCAAGTCTCAATATTAGGAAACTATTTTTGTACTTATTATGAAAAGTAAAACACAAAAGAGGACCTTCTGTATGTTAAAAATTTACTAGAATATTTCATACTAAAATTAGAGATCATATTCATAGGCTGTGCAGGAATTGCGAAATATTTGCATTTGTGTGTAATTAAAATTAAATTATCATTTAGGAAGAAATTTCTGGTATTAAGAAATTAAGTAATCATCAATTCTATTCAGATTATTATGAAAAATATTTATTGATGAATATATATATATATATATATATATATATTTCAAAATTGTGATTTATTTTCCAGAAAAGACTGGCAGACTTTGGCATGTAGACAACTCGTAATGTTATTTCATGAATTAAAAATGAAAAATATTCGTATTTTAATGAATTTTTTTACAGTTGGCATATTATGATCCTAAAGTAATAAAACTTTGTGAGATTATTAATTACATATATTTAGACTTTGAAAATGTATAAATTACTTGTGTCAGATTTGTTTGGCATAAATTGTCAGATTGTGTCGGGCTCAAATTATTTCAGTATAAACAATGTAAACTTTCAATTATAAACTAATCTCTCAGAAGGGTGGACATAAAAAATTAAAAATTTTTTAATTAAATATCTTGAATAATTTTTTTCACATGGAAATCAGACTTTTTTTATAATAATGAATACAAAAGTTTTCTAAATAAATGCATGGACTGGAGGAATGTATGAATAGTTATATTTCATAATTTTTAATAAGTTTATTTCTTTAAATTTAAAAATGCCAAAACATAAATATCTGCAGCATTTAAAATATTTTTGTACGTATATGTATATGTATATGACCGGTGGTTTGGACAATAAAGGTCAGGACAGTTTTGTGAACATGGTTTATAATCTTATTATGTAGATCTCATATACGTAACTGCTATTTCCTTGATATATTATGTTCCATTGTTACAGGACATTTTTAGAAAATAAGTTTCAAGTATTAAAATAAAAATTCATTCTGTTTTAATAAAATAATGTTACCTCATGTCTATAAGCAGTTTTTATTGGGTATGTGCAAATATTTTTACTTTTTATTTCAATGAAATTTTAAACTTTGAAATCATCTCATCTGTGTTGGGTGGCAGAGCAGATTATCCATTGTTTTTATCCTGTAAAAAGCATTGTATGGGCACTGTATGCTATTTTTAAAAAAGCAGTAGTAAATAAGCTTAAAAAGGACATAAAATTTTTTCTATGATATGATTTAGGATATAATGCAACAGAAGCATGCCAAATGATATGTGACATTATATGTCAATAATGCTGTATCACCACACACATTCAATGTTTGTTTTCAGTGGTTGTAATTATAGTAAGCAAAAGAACAGAGACTTTACATAGGTTAGAAAAACATCAAAAGTTAAAAAATCTGAGAACTTTTTAAAAACAATTAAGAATGGATGGAAAAGATTTGTGATTAATTATGTGACATTGGAGAAGTAGATTTACACCTTAAGATTTATGGTAAATTTGTTCAATGGTTAATTTGAAAGTTATCATTTAAGAATGTTTTGTAATAAATTTGAAATTTAGCATGAAAAATTCTTAAAAAAAAGTTCAGTGATAACTTTCAAATTTACTATAAATGCTAAGCTGTAAATCTACTTCTCCAATGTCATCCAATTAATCACAAACCTTTCCCACCAATTCTATAATCATGAACCTATCGTCATCCTCAGTGGTTTTTAAAAGGTTCTCAGGGTTTTAACTCTTGAGGTCTTTCTAACCTATTTAAAGGTCTTCATGCTGTTGCTTACTATATAATTAGAACCACTGAAAACAAACACTGATATGTGTGTGTTTAGATGCAGCGTTATTAACATTTATGCCACATATCATCTGGCATGCTTTTGTTGTATTATATCCTATATCATATCACAGAAAGAGGATTGTGTCCCTATCAAGCATTTTTTTTAGCTCAAAGGGGCAGTTTGTCCAGAAGGGCTATTAATTTTGTTTTGGCATTTCATGTTGGTTCACTTTAAGTGGCATTTCACTTTTTTCACTTTTCAAATTGTTGCCACGAAATGTTACAGGCCTGCATTATATTTAAAGAAATTAAATAATGAAGAATCTTTATGAATGTATATGTGTTTCTTGCACTGTGATAAAACAACTGTACATAGAGACACCCAATTTTCAATAACGTAGCCCTTCACTCAAATATGGGTATCTAGAAGCCCAAATTTGTAATTTGTTTTATGTATTTCATATTTTGTAAAAGTTTAATGAATTTTTTATTATAAACTCAACGATTTCAAAGCAAGCATTGGTAACACTGTAAGGGGGGGGGACATTTTTATCTCCAGTGCTCAAGGCTGTGTATCAGAAATTCTAAAAATATGCTCTTTCTAAATTATTTTGTGATATTGTTGGTGAATTGAATTTTGTGATTTAAGTGCGAAGAACATGATAATTAGAAAATAAGGGTAACACACAAAATGTTAAAAAAACGCCCATTTGGTCGTAATATAAATCTTAAAGCGTTCAGATTTGTTTTCTCCCCCCCCATCTTGTTTAAAAATAGCATAGCATGCCCATAGAATGCAAGATAAAATAATCTGCTCTACCACGAACTAGAGCAAATCCATATTTCAAAACCTGGCTGACTGAATGCTTTCAAATGTTTGCATCAAGTGGTTAATGAGGATGAAAAATAAGTTCGCCATAAGAATGTTAAATGGCATCAGATTGTTTGTAGGTCAGCCAAATCTCAAATATCCACTGCACAAAGTGGATTACTTCAGCAAGAGGTTTTGCTGGATTTCTGAACAATAGTCTATTGAGAATTTAGACCACCTAACCGAGAATTAAATTGGGAGGTGCACTGCACATAGCTGGATTATCTTTGCAGTACCTTGAGGAAAAGCACCATTGCTGCTGAATTATCAAAAATGATATTCTCCCTCTGAGCCCAACTTAGCCTTATTGGGGCCCAGGGCAAAAACTTCTTTGGGGGCCCCCTCTGCTTCAATATTTCAGTAATGAAGAACTGAACTTTATGGAGGTATTTAAATTTTTCGCCTCATTATAGAAGTATAACAAGAAAATTGACTTGGTATAAAGTCCCCCCTCCAATGGTCAGATGAAATATCCCTCTGTCCATTTATCCATTATGTTCTTGTCCATTTTAATTAAACCAATCAGAATCCTGTATTTTTATAAACACATTGCATTTTGTGATATGTAAAAATACAGGCTTTTGATTAGCCAAATTTGTCCATTTGTAATTGCAAAAATTTAGCCAAGTCCCGTTCTAGAAAGTCAATGAATTTGCAAAACATAGGTTTTTTTATGTTCATATGATAGATTAATGAAGAAGCTAGCATAAAACTGAAGGATTTTACATTGCACTGATATTTTGTTTGAAGAAAGTTCATTAAAGAAGGAAACATAAAATAAACTTTCTATTTGATTTAGTGGCCCTCTCTGATGTGGGGGGCCTGGAGCAACTGCCCCGTATGCCCCTGCCTTAGTCAGGCTCTGTTCTCTCTTAACAATGCAAGGTAGTTGAAGATGTTTAAGAGATAGCTTGTATCCTCTATAGTTGCTGGATATTTACATAATAAGCTCTCATCTTCTGTTATAGTTTTCTTTAGAGACCGAAAACAGTACAGGAAATCTTAAAAGCAGGTTACAAAACTTCTCACACAACAAAGTAGAGTAGAGAGGTGGAAAATTTTTACAATAAAAACTGCAGTCTATAAAATAATAATGAAGAATGTATTATAGATTGAAAGCACTTTAAATGTTGATGACAATTGAAAAATGCAAGAATATTTGAACACACCCGATATGTAAACCAAAAAAAAAAAAAAAAAAGCAATATCTGATTTAGATAAGCAATTAATTTTTCTCAAAATCAGTATATTATGTAACGTTTTAAATTTTACTGAGTGTTATGGTTTGTTGTAATTCTTTTACTGCAGAAATTAAAATTTATTTATTTAAATCAGGTGCAAAGAATGCATTATGGGAAAAGCTACAGGAAAAAGAAATGAGATTGTTAGTTCAATTTGCTCCTACGAATGCTTTTGAAGAAATGATTTTATGGACAGAACAAGGAAAACATTGGAAGTTCCCAATTGATAATGACATTGGTGAGTCATTAATGGTTGATATATTTGTATAATTAGTTGTCATTACAGCTAGTGACAATTTCTACAAATTAAACTTATATGCATATATTATGAATGTATACCTGTACTGTAAAATAATATTTTGTTCATATTAAAATTGCCCCTTCCTCCATCCTTTTTTCATTTCTTTTCAGATATGGGTGCTGAAGAAAATGTTGGTTTCCATGAACATGTATTTCTTGAGCGTCACCTTCATGGTTTTCCCACTAAAGGGCCTATTCGTCACTTTATGGAACTTGTAGTTGTTGGACTATCAAAAAATCCTTATATCACAGTAGACAGGAAGATTGAAAATATAAACTGGTTCAGAGACTATTTCAGAGAGAAAGAAGATATTCTTAAAGAAGCTGGGGTTTTAGAAGGATAATTCTTTAAAGCACTGTACAGTAGATTTAATAAATATGTTTACTATTTGAAAACTGTTGTTTCAATGAAATTCCTTTTAGTAAAAAATCTACATATTAACAGTGTTTATTAGGTACTTTCATATCTCATCAACCATAAAACTGTCACCAAGCTGCACGAATTATGGCCGATTATAGGTAAGCGGGACATAACACACTTGCAGCATCTGCACTTTTGATGCAGTAACCCCAAGTTTGATGCAGTAATTCTTGATGAGCTGCACTTTTTTTCATAAACAAGGACATAAATTAACTACTGTTATTGTACTTTTACCCTCGCATTTTGAGGGAAAAAATTATTAAAATTTGGGACCTGCCTTTTACTATAGAACAGCAAACATAGAATAGTTTCAAAGATATTGGCTCCTACTTTGAAAAAAGTGTCTGTTAATGGGCATGATGTGGTCAGCTGAACATGGCTGACAAAACAGTAATAAATTGAAACAAGTACTTGCAAGCAGTTTGTACTCATAGCGTTCCAGAAAGAGCTTCCAGCAAAATCATAGGGTCTAAAAGTAGAAATGAAAGAAAGTCTTTTTACAAACCGCAAAAATGAAGTGGGTCGAATACTGATTATTTGTTAAATAAAGAAGCATCAGTTCCCTCAGAATTCTGTAAGAACAATGCTGTAACTTTGGTGGTACCTTCTTGATGATAGCCAACTTTCACAGTTGATGGGATAATATGTAAGTACCATTTATTACTTAAAAGTACTTCAAAATAAGATTCTGTATGCTATCAGAAGTTATGATTGAAGTTTCAATTCTGCAATTTAAACCACAGAAATAAGAAGTCATATGAAGTAAATACAGAGCTCACAGAGTCACATTCACTATATGTCAATTTGGGGGGGGTGGCCAAAACTTCTTGCATTGTGAGTAGGGGTTATGGTGATGCAAAATTCATGAGTTACTTAACAGAGGATTCAGGTCAGTCATGACCTGCTCGCATTAACACAGAAAAACACTCAAATCATAGTCTTTGTTAACAATTTGATCATCTGGTAGAAATTCATGATGTCAACACATTTGTATAGCGTTTTATAAATCTATAAATCACTTTACTTTTAATTAATTTAATATTAAAATATATATTATATTTCTTTGACAAAGACAGATTATTTCAATCGAAAGATTCAAGCATGAAAAGCTTCACTACAATCTTGATTTTAAGCTACATTACATGCATCTATAAACAGTCTGGCTATGGCACGTTTTACAACGAAGTCTTTTGTTATCATCGGACTTTGCGATAAAATGTCTACCATTTCCGTGCAATGGTTTTTGAATGCTGAATTTACTAGGTCTTTCTGTTGCTGATCTCTATTTCTGGCTAATTCTACACTCTCACTAGGAGTTTGCAAAAGGAATAATGCAATCTCGTGTCTGAAACCTAAAAGACACTTTTTATTTCCAGCAGAAAGTCGTGATATTTAGTTAAGTTTAGATACGGTCTCACCTTATGTAATTTATCAGTATTGTCAATTTGACTTTTGTCAACTAAATGCAAATTCTGCTTCATATTCCTGTACTACAAATGTGATATCGATTCTCGTACAATAGGAACAGAAATGTCAATACATTTTTTCTTGAGGTAAAGAATAATATCCCGTATATATAATAGTCCAATAAATCTTCCCATATAGGCTTCAGATGCAATAAATTCTGGGAGATTTGCTGAGCTTATAAATTTAGCTGTTCAACGAGAAGAGAGTAAATGTCTATACAAAAAAGAAAATCGAACATCTCTCCAGTAGTTTTACCTTGTATTTTGTCTTTTATAGTTTCCAGGGTTTCGTAGCATCCTTATAATGCTTTAAGTCCTTATATTTGAAAATAAAATAAAGGCCCTTATAGGTGCTACTTTCTTAAAGCCCTTACTTTTTGTTTTTATTGCTTATTTTTGCTTTTAGTACAGTCAAAAGTCGGTTTATCCGGACTGTCGAGACTCGGCGATTCGGATTATAGATCATCAGTTAAATCTGGTAAAATGGCATGCAGAAATTATAAAAGTAAAAATATGAAAACCGTAATTTACGAAATAAAGAACAATTATGATCTAAAGGGTATCAAAATTTACAAAAAAAAGCTTAATATTTATTTGTTTACTTTATTAAACATTTCTTTCAATGTAAGTGGTTTCAGTTGCTTCGTTTTTTATGTGATAATACTTTCTCTTTAGTTTTATTAACAGACATAATTTCTTGTTAGTTACAAAGTTCCGCTGTTCAAGTCTTCTAATTGCTGTGTCGAGAATACCGACCAATTTGTCAATCGAATTTTTTTCGTTTTCATAACCTCGTCCTTTCTTCGCTATCGAAGCGAATTATAATGACGAGGCATTTGATTTAAATCATATCAAGACTGAGTACATCGAGATGAAATACTACATTGAGTCAATTATAAGCAAAATAAAATAAAAACATCTGCCCTTAAGATAAGGTAGTGCTGACAAATCAACTTCCAATTGTTGCACGCCGCTGCGGCGTTAAAGATAAACAACGTTAAGTTTATATAAACAAAAAATATGCCTTTATATCCATTTTTGTTTAATGGATTCCGAAAGATACTTTCGCTTTGTATATCCTTTAATATTAGTAATATATATCGAAATTCTATTTGACATAATCGAAATTTCAAGCTTCTTTTAAAAATTGCGCTAACAGTCTGCAAAAAATAATATCCGGATCCAATTCGAAGATTAAGGAACAACGCAATCTACAACATAACTGAAATAGATAATTAGATAATTTTGCTTAGCTTATCCCGTCCGTACATTAACGCGCATTCGTAAACGTGTTTGCGCACGCGCAAATTCCGCAGCGGTAGGTCTTACGCGCATGCGTCAACGCGACCATGCGCAGAAAATTGTAGCTTTAGGTCCGGATTATAGATCATTCCGGATTATGGTGTGTCCGAAATTAACGACTTTGACTGTTCTTTTTTTTTAAAGGAACGGGCCAAAACCCCCCGTACCACCCAAGCCGAAACTAAATAAACAACTTTTCTTTCTTCCGAATATGGAATTCAGATGGTGAATCATACTCCCGGAAATAGCTTTCCCCTTTTCTCTGCATTAACATAACCTTTGGTGTGCACGAAGAGTAAGACAGGTGCCCGTCGTTCTATTGGTCAAAGAATTGCGAAAGCAGTAGAAAATTCCGCGATTCGGCATTCTTTCCTCCCACCCAAATACTACCCACGTTGAATTCTATCAAGATCTTAAAAATTGCATTCTCGTTCTGCTTGGTCAGTTCGTATTCGTGTTATTATGATCGTTATGCTTATATATGAGCATATGTATGAATGTTTATAATAACGTAGTTGCAGTAACTGCTGAAGTATAGTAACTTCCAAAAATGGTTGTGTTTTAACACAGATTAGCTTTCTAAGGAGAATATTCGGAATGGCTTAAATAAAGGGAAAGTACTCGAATAGTCAAAATAATTAATTTTTTTGGCCAATATATGATACAGTAAGAAGGTGGGAGGTCTCCCCTTTCTCGCGCAATCTTGAATATTGAAAACTGTTACAGTTCGCTGCAAAACCAAGCAACGGACTCTTTTTTTTATTTTTTTTTTTCTTTTGGTTACTTTCCAATCTGGATTGAATAGGACTAAGTTCCTGGCGGTCCCAACCGCAGAATGATTCTATTCCGGAAAATTAACGCTGTCTTTGAAAATATAATGAAAAACACAGTTATTTAGTTTTATCTCCCATATACCGGCTGTTGTTGATTCCGATTGCGTAATATCACGTAGGGAAGAATTACGGCGCACGTATTGCGCCATAAACGTTTTGCGATTTTTGCAGAGATAATTAATTTTGATGTTCAGTCCGGAGATTTGTTATGAACACTTCTAACTGAAAGAGTTTTACTGTGCTTACTAAGCAGAATATTTTTTAGTTCCGTTGGTTTATTTTTATATGATGCACATATTGAAATGTCAAAAGCATTTATTAGCGGAAAAATCTAAAGAGCGGCTACAGTCTACCCCCCTCCCGCTCCTTCAAGTTACGCTCGACTGTCCGAATATTCGCCAATTCCAAGTATGCGGGTTAGTTAAGCTTTTACTGTTAAAGGATGACTGCATGAAGCAAATTTCTGTGTTCTTATTTCAGAAATAGTCCCCTTTTTTACTTAAATTACTTTGCTTGCAATTTCTGTTAAGAGGAAACTGATATACAATGAAAATTTAGAAAATGTTCAGAATTTTGATTTAAATTATTTAACTATCAATAGAATGGAAAAACAAATTGTATTTATTATAGGTTCCAAGCGAATACAATAAATATGCTTATTATTATTTATTTTCTCTATTTGAATTGAAATTTCATCATTAAATCTTGTAATTAGTTTAGTTCTTCATAGTTTTTTTGTTTTTTTTTTTTTCCCCTCTCATTGTAAACTAGTTCTGTAAATTGAACTATTATTTAAAATTAAAAAAAAGAAAAAAAAGAGTAATTATTTTCCATGGTTGAGGTAATGCTTATTCTCTCTTAATAAGTACTTCATTTCTCATAGTATTTTTTTAAATTACAGTCTAATTTTAAAGGTTATGCAGTTGTGTATGATGTAATTAGACAGGTGCTTATTTTTTTTCTTAAAATGTGCTTGAAAAGTGCTTATAGGTGCTTATTTTTTTAACTAAAATGTGGCTATGAACCCTGGTTTCTCTTCTGTCTCTTTCTTTATTTTCTTCATGAGACATAACTGAGGGTTCCTTTCTTAGCCATGTCAAGTTTTCAGTTTTCTGCTTTTTAAACTTGACTACCACTGCTTTTAGAAGGCTGAAACTTACTTCTTACATGAATTTCAACTTCCCAGCAATATCATTTGGTAAAATATTTTCATTATTTAAAAAATTTTTATTCCCGTCTTCTTCATCAGTAGCTTCTGAAATTTCTGGGGAAGCAACAACAATATCTGTTTCATTCTGGTCATTATTAACATTACCATCATCTGTTTCTTCGTCAACATAATATTTGAAGGGCTTCTTCTAATGTAAGATACCT